CCAACTCTTGGATCAGTGCACAGAAGTATAAAGGAATGATATATAGGAGTGATGCATAAAAATGTACCCAAAGTTTTAGAAATAGCACGGTGTGCAATAAAGAATATCAAGTTACCAACCCTGCATAACCAAAAGCTTATCGTATCTGCCTCCTTAATCCACACAAAGGCTGTGTGGTTGGGATACTTTCTTGCAGAAAATAACGAGGAAGAACTCTGATGCATGCCTCACCAATATATGTATGTTTGTTTATAAGCAGTATATATGCTATTAGTATATCAACATTGTCCATTATAAAATGTAACAAAAATAAAAATTTCAAAAGGAGGACATTGACACACACACACACATATATCTGATGTAGCTTTAGATAAGTTTGCCAATGCCATTTACATCTTACTTGCTTAAGCTTGCATTATTAGTATAATCTTCAGTCCATTAATTTCTTGGCAGGAAATGCTTGCTCATTTTCTAGGGTTAGTTTAGTTAATATTAGAAAATAAAATCTGTAGGTCATCTAAGCAGGGATGCATGAAACTAAACATAGCAGAGGCAGCCTTCTGTGAAGTGAGTCTTCCACTCCCCTTCTCCATACCTGGAAAGCCATACGCAACACTGCACTACCTGACACAGGAATCAAGTCAGAAAACCAAGGTCAATCCATGTATCAAGTATTTTTTGTTTGAAAAAAAATGTAACTTTGGATTTTCATTATCTCACTCCTCCATACCCAATGCATCAGCAAATCCTGTCAGCTATACCTTCAAACACATTCAGAATCTGATCATTTCTCACCTTCCCCATCCAGGCCACTATATTTGTTGCAAGTTGCCATTATTTGGATTAGCACAACAGCCTTCCAACTGGTCTCCCTGCTTCTGTCTTTGGCCCTGAACTTCAGGCAATGAAATTCAGGCAGGAAACACTTTGAGCAGACAAAGGCACATATCTCACTCGGAGAGAAAGACTAAGACCTCACCCTGCTACCCAAGGCATTCTATGATATGTGTCCCATTACTTCTCTGCTTCTTGCTCACTCACCTTACACAGATCTTTCCTAAACGATTTCTGTGGCTATAAAGAATACCCTGGCCTTCTCACTTAGCCTGGAGACCTCAAAGGGTTAGAAGTTGCATTTACTATAAATAAAGATGATCAGGAATGAGTTTCCCTGTGAGATATTCAGACACTACATTTCAAAGCCTTTCTACAGCTAAACAGATTTCCTTCTAAGCAATTGAGCAGTCAGAGGAAGATGGTCCCAAACCAATCCTGCTGATAGCCACCAGGACCACAAATTTTTCTGTTGGATGTATATTTTTTGATTTATTATAAAATCATGGTTTTACTTAAAGAGCACATTTACATTATTTAGTTTTGCAGACAAGACTATGAAAATGATGCACATAATAAAGATTACTTCTAATACCCGTATTTGATGCATCATCTACACAACCACCCAGTTTAACTTGAATTTAAATTCAGCCAATAATTCTAAGGTGACAGTTTTATCTACAAAGCCTCCATTTCTATTTCAACCAATTTATTTAATGGAACAATTTAGAGTACTTATTTAAACTGATCTAAATAACATTTTTTTAAAGTAAAGGGAAAAAACTTTCAAATGCATGTTAATAGTAGAAACCACTGCTGTTTTTAAAGCAATGAATCAGCTTCAAATGTGAGTGTTAATTGTACAATTTCTTATTAAATATACTCAAGGAAGATAGCAATGTAATCATAATAAAAATGTAAAGTTAGATAAAATCCACCACTCTCCCATAAAACGCTGATACACAAATATTAATACCTCAAATAAAATATATGCCATAAAATTTAACATGTGAAAACACTGAAAAATAAGTAAGATACAAAATTATAAAGTTCAAACATATTATGCTTCAATTCTCACTTTACTTGATTTCCACTCCTTTCTAGATGCATCTCATGTACAAACAGTTCAAGAAATCTGATGATTTTCTTTATTATAAGGGCTGAGATGGCAATGATTGAACACTCTGCATCTTCTTTGTTAATAGAAAGTATGATTTATGAGAGAGGAATAAAAATCCAAGAAAACCCACTCAATAAATTATTCAATTCTCAGATCAAGCTGATTTAGAGCAAATTTCCTTCATGAGGCCAATACGGAAAATGCAGCTTACTGGATAAGAATACAGTGTCTCAGAGCATATCTGGACTCCTTTCCTTGTTTTTAGTATTTTTGTGACTGTAGACAAGGCACGAGCCTCCTTTAAATCCAATTTATTCATTTAAAAAATGGAATAATAATAGGAACCATGTCTCAAAGTGCAAGATGTACACAATCAGAGGCTTTCAATATTGCTAGTATGTGATGAAATTTTTTTTCAGATACTGTTTATTTTAATGTGACATAATTAATGAATGTGTCAGCCTAAAACTTTACAAGGTTTCTCTCAGGAAAAGCCTAGGTAGCACTACAGGAATTTCTCTTCTCAGTTTTTGGCAGCTGTACTTTAAAACTTCATTCCCATGAACATGGACATTTAAAAATCTGTAAAATTCTTTACACAAATGACTCAGATATTGGAAACAGAGTCTTAGGGTTTATGTAGATTATGTGAAAAATCAAAGGAAACAGTGAGGTAACATTCCTAAAGTCCTTAGCATAGTGTCAGAGTATATTATGAATGCAATAACTGTTGCTGTTAATATTATTTTTCCTTATGACCTATTATTGTCATATTACCATAATGCTAATAGATCAGACATACTATGCCCTGGGATAAAAAACATTAATGAGTATCTGTGCAAAAAAAAATCATCATCTAGTATTTTCCAAATGATTTATAAATAAAATGCATCAAGAAATCAAGAAACTAAGAAAGAATAAAAGAAATTAGGGGGAAAAAAAGGTAGGGGGAATGGGGAGCTTACACAGGAAAAAATGAGCAAGGACCTGATAAAATTAAACAGCATAAACCATTTATCATAAGAATATTTGATAAAATGGTATATGTTGCAGTGATGCTGGGGCTAAGTAAATCTGCCTGTAAAACTTGAGGAATAATCATACCAGATGAATTCTATCTAAAGTATCTTCTTAACCTTTGAATCAGGACATTTGAAATAAACAATATAGCCTTTTACTTACTTATTTTTAAAAATTCCATCAACTAAAGCAGTATATACCACTGTAATAGCAATGTTAACATCCGATATAATATTGCTTGGAAATTTTCCTCTTCAATGCTTATCTGCTTCCTATTTAATTGCAGTTAATATTTTTCTGCAGAGAATATTTCCCAGGAAAATATATGCTTATCATTTTGTGACTATGTTGTATTTATTTTAAATAAAATATTCTAGGTTCCATCCACCAACATATAAGTACCTTTAATATTTTTGTGTTCAAATTCTTATTACAAACTAACCCTAAATTTTCTTTTAACACTGGCAAAGGATCATTCAATGATGATCAAAAGGTAGATAATATCTATTAAGATTCAGATATCTTTAGTCATAGTAAGACTCAGTTCCATAGTATTAATAATTCTTATACCCAAGAATTAACTGGGGACAGAACAGGGCCCAATCTAGTGAAATTTCAAATAATGGGGAAGCCAAGTGATAGCAAAACTCTTAAAAAGTTTCACCTTAATATCCTGCCATGAATTTCTCACCCAGAATTGAAGGCTACAGACCAGTGGATAAATTAGACACTAAAGTTTAGGGATAAAGCACAGAAATACCATCTAATGAGAGTTAACACATGATGAACAGCACTAGCTGTTTTTGGAGAGTTGGAAATAACTTATTAAATGACACCATGGGTGCCTCTCTGAATGAATCAAGAACTTAAATGCAGTCATGGAAAATTAATTAATAAGAAATTCTTCTGCTTCTTGCTTGAAAGTTGCAGTACAACTACAATTATGTGATATGATCAAAAAGGAGCTCCTTCAAGAGAGTGAATTTACCAGATAATTAAAGCTAATTTCTGGACAAAAAACAAATAAGTGACTTGAAATCACCGTCAAGCATTAACAAATTACTTATTGAATTATCAGCCTCAGTGATTGTCTTGGTGTTAGGAAATACTCTCCCTATTTTGATCTTTGGCTTTCATTGAAAAAGCCTTTTCCTACTATGGATCATCTCTCACTTCATAATGCTCTCAAACAGTGACTTTGTAAAAATAATAAGGAGAAATAAATATAATACATTTTTAGAATGACACCTGTTTTATGATTTAGCATTTTAAATATAGCAACATTTTTCTGAGTTACAAATAAAATCTTTTTCAAGAGCTAAAAGAAGTACCTAACTATTTTTAACAGCCTGAAATATGTAAATTTGTAGCATGTTTTCCTGGCAAATATATATTTAATCGTATATAAATATTTTTGTTCATTAAAACTTACTATAAATTTGAGAATCAAATTTTTACTTAATTTTTTTAACTTTTTAAATTTTTAAGTCCCAGCTAATAGCAGAAATTTAGATTCATTTGCTAGTCATAAACCATAAACACTATGATTATAGTTACAATAATACAATTTGTTATAGAAAGAATCAAGTGGTATGAGTATAAAACAGTTTAATTTTAGTTTTTACTACATTTCTTATTCCCAGAAAAGAAAAAAAAAAAACTAGCACATGGCTATTATCATTGGTATCAAATGAAAACAAATTTTAGGACATTATTATCAGGATATCCTTTTCGTGTATTTTCCATTAAGCTATTATTAATTCTGTTTTCATTTTTACTGACTTAACTTTAAAACATTTTTATAAATAATATACATTTTTATTCTGCAGAATTTTGTATTAACTATAACATAATTTAGATTTAGAAACTTGGCAATTATGAGGAAATTGATAGCAGAATAGGTCAGAAACAGGGCACTTGGCTTGATTTCTGCAGAAATGATATATTGTGAACTCATATTCTCAACACGTTCCAAGTAGTAGAAAAAGTTCTGATGAAAAAGCATATCAATAAATTTTGCACTTACTTTTCAGAGGCAAAGTGTCTGTAATACACTGTAACTCTGGTTCCTTGGCCCATTCCATCTTTGGCAGAATCTGCATCATTTCATAGTCACCATTCTCTGCCAGGGACACTGGTTCACTGTTGACTGGTGTCTTTCTTAAAGTCTTCATGTGCTGTTGAACTTCCGCCAAGAGAACAGCTTGTATTGCTTCAGTTACCTGTAAAGTTTTTTTTTTTTAATGAATTATTTTTAGTATTATCATAAATGCTTGGGATCTTACACAAAACCCAAAGCCTGGAATTTTGATTTGAATAGATTTCACATAAATTGTAATACTCCATTCTGTTAGAATTAGCATCTAAAACAATTGAAACGCAGTTACTGTAAACTGGCACCCAAATCATCATATTTGTCTTTTAAAAACCTCAAGAGATTATAAAAGGAAAGTTGAAAGGAGTTCTCAATTCTTTCTCATAAAATATTTTCATTTCCACCAGAAGATAATTTGAATGTATCATATTGCTCTTGAAGACAAGATTAGCTCCCCAATGTCTAGCTCTAAAGCACTATTTAGCTAAAAACACTTAATTTAAACTGGGTTTAATACAGAAAGTTAAAGACTTTAATAATAAGTCTCACTAAATTGTGTGTATGTGTATATGGTTTGACGTGTCTTAAAATACTAACAGAGCCTGCCTTCAGATTAGTGTCCGTGCCCAGTCAAGGGCCTATGGTTGAGGGGGTGGGGGTGGGGATGCTTACCACAGAACGTCTAATACAGTATTTTCATCTTAAAAATGAAGAACCTGGGGTGTTGCATCCCAAGTTGCACACAGACATGGTGGACATTCTACATCTTTAGTAGTATATGTCCTCCAAAGGTTCTATACTCTTATACCTCAATAAAAAGCCAGTGACAGTACCTTAGCTTCTTCCTGGTAAGAAATGAGGAAAGGTCCAAGAGTTAGGCAGTGTTCAAGGAAAACCAAGACCTGAATTGGTGAGAGAAAATGAAGGGCACTGCTAATCTAGGTGAACCTGGGACACCTTTCCATTATCTGTCTCTGGCTGACAGTTAAACATTTCATATAGCCATGTTCCAATGACTGCTCCTTTCCCTTCAAAAGCCTGTCCTCTGTCAAGATGACTCATGTTCCATAATTGCCCCGTCCCCTCTGCCTTATCCCCAGTCTATCCATAGGATGCCTAGAGCTAGAGCTTTGGGACAACACCAACTGAGACTGATGCCAGAAACAGAATAAGTATTCATCTAAATATTTTTTTGGTCTCTGTTTTGTCTCATGGTAGCTTGTGAAAGATTTAGGCTCCAGGTACACTCAGAGAACTTATGCTGATGGCAGATGCTCGATGAACTACAGGGGCCGAAGGAACGGCACACCTGAGCTTTAAATATAGGGAGCTTCCTAGAAGGATCAGAGTAGCTTCCTGATCACTGATCATCCTCCTACTCTTGTCCACTGAAATGTTTGGCTAGGTTGTGAAAAAAAAATGGCTAATGAATAATGTGATTTTACTATTGCATACCAAATCCAGTAATGCCTGTCACAATACAGGTACATAATGCTTACTCATGCATATTATGTGATGAGAGACTCAAAACTGTGATAGCTATTGCATACCATGAATATATAATTACTATATACCATATGGTATTTGGAATAAATTGGAATAAATACCATATAATTCTAGACATCATGATACTGATGAATCATGCTTATTAATATCTACCATATCCTGAGATTCAATTATGTTGAATGTTAAATTGAAATGTTTCAATTAACATTGCTAAAACTATATTTACTATCAGATATGATATCTACTAACATATACTCTTCTAGATCACCATGGTTCATAAGTGAACCATGCTTATCATGTAGATATTATGATGGGACAAACTGTATTAGTTATTCATGGACAATTTCACATCACTCAGTTTATTTCATTTTAATTGTGTCACACATTTTATTTGATACCATAGCTTCCAAGATGTGGATAATGTGGTAGAAGGAGCTGTGAATCTGAAATGAGAAGGCCCAAATTTCTGATCTGATTATGACAGTTACTCTAAATGCAACTTTTGACAGGTCACATACTACTCTGGGACTTCATATCCTGCCAGATAAAACAAAGTCTGTGATGCCAAGAGAGGCTAGGATGAAAGCTGTCAGTCACAGAACTTGCATGGAACTTGCTTCTGTCCATACCTATAAAAATCAGGAAGATATTGGAGGATATTTTCAGACTTGTAATAAATCCAGACTATGGTATATCCTTCAGAATGGGCAGTTGTCCTTATGTCCCCACGGGATTATGGCTGCCCTCTCACCCTGGTATGATTATCATCTCTAGGGAGCCACCCACAACTGTGATTTAGAGTATCCCCTATCTACTAGACATATTATTCTATATACTGTATACAGAATATTCTGTAACAACCTGGATCAACATTCTTTCTTAAAAATATACTGGGATCTTTGCAACTTCAATTAACATTTCTAATTATTAGATTTATATATCATGACCGTATTTTTTAACTTAAATTTTGGAACTTTTTGACATATTTGTCACTACAAATGCATAATGCAAGAATAACTAATATGAGTATTATTAAAAATAAGACAAAGCAGAAATAGCAGGATAAAACATATTAACTATAGTAAGCAGGATACTCAGAGCCACAAAGCCAAAAATGAATACAGAATGGCACATACTCAATTGGAAACAAACTCAAAATATACACTTTATGATCAGTGCAAAATCAATACTCAGCAAAATGATACAACTTATATAAACGTATAATAATGTTTTCATAGTATTGGCATACAGTAGGCACTAAAACTATGCTAACAGGATTGAAATAGAGACTATATATTTTAAAAATATACACTATGGGAAGTAAAATTTATGATAATTTCTGACTGTCAATACTTGAGTCTCTCTAGCACATAAATATAGTAGATAAATTTTGTAGATAGTAGGCATAGTGGTAGTAGGCATAGAATTCTTCCCAATAAAATATAAAATCTGTAGGCACTATTTTATATAACTTTGTGGTTTTAATATTGAGCTAGAATTAAAAGCAGTGTAGCTATAAAGCTGTCTTCCAAATGCATGTATAGTTTTCCTGAAAAGACAGATATGCAAAGTATTACGCTCTTATGAAGGAATGTGCAGAGATTTAAAATAAGGTTTAAAAATCCATTGGCTAGGAAAAGACAGTCACCTCTGGGCCACATGCTTATTACTAGAAGTATTACTGTGCCATAGCAAGGTAAAAAGTTTAATGCTTTTCTACCTACACCTTGAAACAGCAAAGTATTGGACAATAGCACAGAGCATTATGGAGACTCATAAGAGCCCCCATGGCCTGCTTGTGGTTTCAGTGTCCAGATTTTCTGGTATAAAAGCATTTTCGCAACACTCAGGCTCACACTAGCCTTTTGTGTCTTTGCATCATCTCCTAGAAAAGCAACACTTCTCCCCGGAGGCCTGGATGTCATGATTTTTAACCACTAGTGTTAGATTATAAAAACCGATGACCTTCAGTGCTGCTTCAGAAACATGCAAATTAGCAACCCCAAAATTTGCTGTTGCTTTCCCAGCATTTCTTTCTTTTTTAAAAAATTACTTTATTTTTTATTTTTGTGGGAGGAGGTAACTAAGTTTATTTATTTTTGGAGGAGATACTGGGGATTGAACCCAGGACCTTGTGTATGCTAAGCATGTGCTCTGCCACTTGAGCTATACCCTCCTCCCCTCCCAGCATTTATTTCTATGTTGGGTATATTTCATGTGTGAGAAGCAAAAGAGATAATCTCTAGACAAACTCATTCTTCTGCAGAATTAACTCATTCTTACCCTTATTTTTACATCCTTACGGTTACTCCCCGTTCAATTTCTGAAATAGGATTTTGCTGTTTTACAAAATCATTCTATTACCATCTAGTGTTCCTAAAATACATTAAAAATGGATTGAAGTTAACAGGATTCGACTAACTGCTTAAATGAACAGCTTTATAAGGAATGTGAGGATTGGTTAATGAAGAATTTCTACGGACACTTGCAAGGGCCACTGTTTTTCCTGAAGGCCCCAGGAATTCTCATCCCCATCTTACGCACGAGGAAAATAATCAACAAGTTAAACCTATCTTCCAGGATTATTGATCTCATCAAATGAGAAGAGAACTTTGAAGCTTAAACTTCATACAGAGCAAATAATAAACGTTTTGGTAATATCTGCTCTGCTGCTAGCATTTTACACAAGGTCATAGAATCATAGAACCTTAAAGGTCCATTAGTCCAAACATATCCAAACCACATTAAAATTTATTTGAAGGTCAAATGAGCAACTACAAAAGATCTTTAGTTAGAGCAATTCAGAATAAATGTTCTTTGAATTCTTTTCCTTCAGAATTTATTCCCCCATTGAGAAGTTCTCTGGGCACTGGGGGAAAAAGTCCCACGTTTAATAGAGACTCTTCAGCATGATTGCTAATCTGCTGAAAAAGTCAGCATATACTAATATTTGATTATTGCAGAGGCATTTAGCATAGCTATTCAGTCATTTATTAAATATTTATTGACTGGCTTCTGTGCAAGGAATGAGTGAGACAAAGTCCCTGCTCTCAGCAAGCTTCTATAACAGTGAGAAGACAGAAGAGAAGCAAGCAAAAAAGCAAATGGTATAATTTCCATTAAAAGGAAACAGGACAAAGAAAATCAAATGGGTAATGTGATGGTGACTGGAGCACGGGGGAAGGGAAGGTGCAGTGTCCATGTTAGAAAGAGTGATCAGGGAAGACTTCTCTGAAGAGCTGGCTTTTGAGCAAAGACCTAAATGATGAATGGAAAAATGAGAATTCCAGCCTGAGAGAAGAGTAAGGTTCTGCAGCGGAAATAAAAAGTTCAATGTGCTAACTTGGGAGAATGATGAGGGAGGGAAGGGATTAGGTAGGCCATGGTTTTAATAATGGTCCCAACTGTGTTTATTTGGTTTTGTTCCAAGTTAGCTTTCTTTGTTTTCCTGTAACCAAGAATAACCACTTGTAACTGGAGTGATCGCTATTCTTGTCCTGCAAATTTGACATTTACGAAGCTCACAGAGAAGAATAAAGTTCCAACAAATAGGCATCTCATCAACGCACAGATATTTCTGTACAATGTACACAACGACCCAGTTAGCTTTTAGGACACAAAAAACCCTTAAAAGAGGAAGAAGAACTTAAGCTGAACATTGAGGAAACCAGCTTTCTAGATCAGCCCACATAGAAAGCATTGTCAGGATAGAAAATGATTTCTAATTACACCTACCAAATTCTTAAGCTTAGGGACCTTTACCTCATGACACAATTTGAAATCAAATAATAGACATTTCTGCCACCAGCTGAAACCTCAGTGGGCAATAAGTTACCTGTAACAACATAAATACCCATCCCTCTGCTCCCCCTGTTCACAGCCTCTAACTTGGTGCATCCTTGTGTATGTTATTTTCCACTTTTCCCTCATTATTAGTCTCTGCATTAGTCCTATTAGTCCTAATGAAATACCCTGGAAGAAAACATTATGCAAAGACAGGAGTTCCTCCTTACCTGTACTCTCAGGTACAAGAGAATATGAATATGAATATGAATAAACCACAGCTGTCAGGAACTCTTCCAGTGCCTTCAAGAACATGAACTGTATCGTACCTGGACATACTGGTCTCTCCAACAGGAAATTAGTTTCAAAAGTGAAACATCAGCTTCAGGTAGATGGGATTCACTCTTACCTAGAAATACACAGAACACATTTGTATCTTGAGACTGTTAAACACAGACGCAACCCAATGATCTTCAACTCTGGCTGCACAGTAGAATCACCCATGGAGCTTTCCCCACCCTGCCCTCCTACAAACACCACAGCCCAGGTTCAATCTTGCAGTAATTCTGATTTAATAGGCCCCAGGGTGAAGGTGGGGCAGGCATTAATATTTTCTAAAAGTACCTTGGATCATTTTCATACATAGCCAGATTTAGGAAACACTGACTGATTTATATGTATTTCTAACAATTATACTAATACATATTCACATCAAATGAAATTCATCTTTATATCTTAAACCCATCTCCATATTTTTGCCAACAAAATGCAATGATTAACATTCCCCCAAAAAACAGATCACTGAATTTTATAACTCCTTCCTCGTACAATTCCTGAAAATCTACCTTGCCATAAATCAATATCTATCACACAGAAAATCCTATAAAAGACTTCCTTTGATTCGTTCTTGCCCAGCCATACTACTCTGATCAATAGGTATAGCACTTATGTTTTAATTTAACTCATTTTGTTATGTATTGTTTCTTTTAAGTTTGCCCTCTTGAATGTCCTTTCTATCTATTTGCCCTAATGTTCACTGTGAAATTTTAAGAGTGAGCTATGGCTTGGTTTATTTAAATTGATCCATAAAGCGTCCGACAGTTCCCTACACAAAAAAGCACTTAATAAGTACCTTTTCATTAATTGAAAATGTACGTATTATCATCCAAATGAAAAAATCGATGAATTAAGGCTTTCTGATGGCTAAAGTGTATTATCTAGGTGCCACATCCAGGAGTGAGATAAGGAGGAATGATAAAAGCTTGTGCTGGAGGGAAAATTGCTATAATTGTCTATTTAAATTAATGTATTAATATATGTTTGAAATCCTGGCTCAACTATTTAAATTAGTATTATTCCAATATGCTTTTCACTGAATTACCATTTTATATATTAATATATATATGTGTGTGTGTATTTATATATATCTCACATTAATGATCAAGGGAGGTGTAATAGAAGGTATTGATATAATGCAAACTGAGAACATGAAAGAAATATATAGGAAACTTCTGACTCATTGTTAATATTATTATTTTTTCCTGATGGAACATATGATGTGAATTTGAAATGACCGAGAACAGTGCATAAAACGTGCAAGTAAGATAGAGAACAATGAGTTTGAAGTCGTATTTTCCACTTCTTCATAAGCACAGCAGGTAAGAAAAATTTTTCTTTTGATCTCTTTCCTTTCTCCCTCTCTCGTTTTGTTGACCTTGTGACTCCACCATCAAAGCGAAGTATTGGTCTCAACTGTAACTACTTACTGGCATCACGGGGTACTTCACAGCGCACTTTAATGTGATGTTAAAATTTTAATATGAGATGGAAATGAGAGCCAACTTTTCTTGGCAATGTCAGTGAGTTAAAGAATTAATTACAACTTCAGGGGGAAAGATAAAAAGAAAACATCCAAGGCTTACCAATATACTTAGCCATCAATTCTGATGATGGAAGTGGGTATTGGTGCCTGTCAACCCTTCACAGAATGAGCACCTCAGAGTATTATTTTATTCCTTAGACTTAGACTTTGTAGAATTAAGAGCATGAAGTGAATTCCTCCTTTCCCTTCACCTCTTCCGATTATTAAAACATAAAACCACGTTTCCTTAGTACCTAACTGAATTTTAAATGCTATAAAGGCCGCCTCTAAACATCAGGGAGACTGTTCAGTAATAACATTAGTTGCTCAGGCTGCTTTGGTTGGGACAGTCATAGGACAAACTGGGACCTCCTTGGCTCTGGTTGGCAAATCCCCAGGTCTCTGCAGAAACCACTCATAATACACCTTAAATTCTAGTCTCTTCCCCAGTGTTATGAAAAATAAAAATTAGGGTAATAACCCCAATAAGGGCTACCACCTAAGGAGAAGGCAGGCAATCCAGACTGGGTCATAGGGAACATGACTTGTGATCATAAATGTGAGAAGTGGCCTGACATAGTGGAAAAAGCTAGGAGTTTGGAATTAGACATAGTTGGGCTGGAACCCTGGCCCTTCATTTTGCCAGCTGGTTGACTATAAGTGAGTCATCTAACTTCTCTGAGCCCCAATTTTCCTAAGGGAAAAACAGAGATCTTCCTACCATATAGCATTGTTTCTATATTAGTTGAGATAACATCTAGTAAAGTCACTGGCCTAATTCTTTGGTCATACTACGATGCTACTAATAAACTCTTACTTTAAAATATCCTGAATTTTCTTTTCAAGAGCCCTGAGAGAGCCACTTGCACTGTTGTTCAGGTCATCCCAATGTATTGATCATATAGCGCACAACTTTGGGAGCAACATATACATCAAGTCTGGAATATTATTCCCATTTTACAAATGTCGTAAAAATGGCTTTTAAAGGAGTAAAAGATACATTCAAAGCTACATAAGTCGTAAGTGGCAGAACTGGATCTTGAGCCTCAGCAGTTTATCTCCAAAACCATTGTTCTATTTTCTATTCATCCATTAATCCAAAAGTATTTGCTTAATTCCTTGCAGGTATTGTTCTAGGAACTGGGGACACAATGGTGAATAAAACTGTCCTTAAAAAAACAATAACCTCCCTGGAGTTTACATTTGAGTAGCAGGAGGTAGAGGGCAAATGAAAAAAATGATATATACAGTATGTCAGATAGTGTAAAGGATTATGTAAACAGTAAAACAGGGAAGGGGGTAAGGTGTGCTGGGCAGAAGGGAGGGTGGCCTCACTGATACAATGGCATTTGAGGAGGAAATGAAGGATGGAGGATGGAGGGGAGGAGCAGCAGGTTGACTTCCGCAGAACCTGGAGAAAGGGCATTTCAGGCAGAGGGAACAACCAGTGCAAAGACCCTAAACCTTGCCTGTGTGCTTGGGTAAGAGTTAAGAAGGCCAGTGTAGATGGAACCAGTGAAGCAGGGGATGACTTCAAAGAGATGAGGTCAGGTGAGGGTGTGTGTGCGATGACATGGGTAGAGCAGCCTGGTTATACAGGGCCTTGTGAGCTACCCTAAGGGCTATAGATTTTATTCAGGGTGAAAAAGAAGCCACTGAAAGGTTTTTAGTAGTAGCATGAGGTTCTAACTTAGTTTCAAGTAGATTACTCTGGCTGTTTTGTTGGGAACAGAATGTAAGAAACAAAAATAGGAGCAGAGGTGTAGTTAAGAGGCTTCTGTGTCCAGGAAAAAGGGGATAAAGGCTCACCAGGGGGTTAGCTGTGTAGGTGCTGCAGAAGGAGTCAGAATCTGGGATATATTCTGAAGGTAGAACCAATGTAATTACTAAAAGATTAGATGTGGCATATGAGAAAAAGGGGAAAGTCAAAATAACATTAAAGTTCTTGGTCTGAATAACTGGAAGGCTAGAATTGCCGTTTACTGACACGTCAAAAATTTGGAGAAGCAGGCTTTGGAAAGGTATTTACCATTTGGCATCAAAAGAAAATCTAAACACCAAGCTTGCTACCAAGAAGAATTCAGGGACCATTATATAACCTTCTGAAATAGCTGTAAAATCCCCTAATATAATAATCAGTTATTTGGTAATAAAGATATTGAGGCGGTAAATGTCCCCATAAATTACACATGACCTTAATTTAATATTAATTACATTATGGCCCTAAGCTAATTAAATATTTAATTTAATCAAATGTTTCCTTTGCTTAAAAATTTCATTCAGACTTTCAGGTATTTCAAAGATAATTTGATGAAATCCACCATATTTCATGTCTTATAAGGTATTTATTTTAATAATAAAATTTTTTATATATTTCAAATATGGACATACATATTACAAAACTCTAACCATGCGAAATGCAGATTAAATCAAACAATAAATATGCACACTTCTCATCCTAAACTGTGGAGTGCTAGCCTATTATAGCACTTTTATTTCATAGAGGAAAAAAATTAGACTGTATCTGTAACTCCTTTACCATTTCGTAAATAACCGTAGAAGCTTGAAATATTCAAAATATCGTTCCCAGGACTTTTCATCTTGTTGTGCACAGACTCCACTTTGAAAGAACTGTTGAAAAAAGATTTAAAGGATATTATTAAAGATGTATAAAAATATTTTGAGTAATAAATTGAAGGTATAAGTCCAAGACCACTTCAAATTTGGGAGCTGAACACATATACAGCAATGTCTTTGACATTAATCTCTTTCGTGAATCTTATCTCCCCACTTTGGCTTACATAGAACCCTAATCCCAATTGAATTGTGAATCTTAGTTTACTAGAATCATCTTGTGAAACACTTACTGGAGGAGCCTTGGCTAATGCAATAAATTTTTGAATCCTATTATGTTCATATCTGCCAAAAAATTATCCCCAGGTACTATCAGGACTTGATGAAGGGAGGCTTTTACCTAGTCCAGAGATTCAATGAGAGGAAATTTCAGATACTGTCCAAGGATATTCTCATAGGCAGATAGCTCTTAAAATTTAGTTACGTCATGCACTCACTTGTCAAGCGTACAAAGATTTCTCAACCTTCACAACCACAGTGAAATGTTAGGAGAATGGCCAATTTTGTTGGAAGGGTTTGGTGTGACAAATCCAATACACATTATTTTGACTTCCTGAAAAATGACACACATTCTCCAACAGCAGATCAAATCTGAAACAACTTATTTAGGGAAGCAGTCTCTAATCCTGAAACCTCCATTCAGTAATTTGTTTTGATAAAAAGTTTTGTAAAGATTTAACTAAGTGTGTGGCAATGATTTTAAGGCCATTTAATGGTAGGCATTCTGAAAGCCCTTAATCTCCCCCAAAGGGTACCGGATATACCCTCCATATCCTTTGTTCTAAATCAGGAACAAACTATGAAGGAAAACCTCTGGGAACAATAACTAAGTCCCTCATATGCTCTGTGGGATCATGATCAGGCTAACAAATTTAATTTGTTAGTAGCCCAGGTTTTTAAGAATTTGAAGAAATCTTGATGATCACCTATTCTATTCACCTCATTTTGTACATGAGGAAAAGCAAGGCCCAGCAGGGCTAAGTGAATAGTCTACAGTCATGTGGCTAAACAACAACAGGATTTTTTCTCAGGCTTTCAGGCTCCACTGACGACACTTTTTTTTTAATTGAAGTATAGTCAGTTACAATATGTCAATTTCTGGTGTACAGCACAATGTCCCAGTAATGCATATATACACCTATATGCTTTTTCATTAAAGGTTATTACAAGATATCGAATATAGTTCCCTGTACTAAACAGAAGAAATTTGTTTTTCAATCTATTTTTATAACAAGATATTGAATACAGTTCCCTGTGCTATACAGAAGAAATTTGATTTTTTTAATCTATTTTTATATCTTACTTTAGGTGTTATTTAATTTTCTTAGTACTAGGAAGAAAAGTGAAAGAAGCCTATCTGAAATTAAAATACATACTTATATATAAATATAAATTATAAACGTGGATTTATATATTATATAAATATATACATATGTATTTTAAGTGACTAGAAGGAAAAAATAGAGGAAAATAAACTGTATGAATCACAGAAATTCATTAGTCTGTTTTGTCATGAGTAGAGCCACCAAACAGAAAATGGAAAGCCCTGTAATGGAAGCAAGCATAACACTGAATCTACATAATCCATAGGACTTGCTACCAGGCTGTAGGATCACTGAGAGCAGGAAAATTATTATAATAGTACTTGGCACAGATATTTGCTGAACTGAGCTCATATCAAAAAACAGAAATGTCAAGGACCGTTTACCACCATGCAACGAGCAGTTCAAATAGTACTTCTTCTATAAAGGCTTTCTGATTGTTTCGTCTCACACTAATTATTCTCTTTGCTCTGACACCTGTAACACTCATACTATAAATGTTTCTTTTTGTCCCTTTACCCTAATTCAATGTTTCCTACTTATTTCATGTGCATTATCTTTATCACTTGAACGAGTTCCTACCCAAATGAGAAATTTATTTTTATTTTCTCTGTAAGTTAGTGCTAAGGACATATTTAGTAAGCACTTGGTGGACTGAATTCAATCCTCTGATATCAGACTATGAAAAACTACACTGAATTTTAGCAGTGGGAGAAGGCAAACACACAGTCAAGGTTAGCAATCAGGCTTTGGAATTATACTGACAGTCAGCCTTGAATCAGCTTGTAAGGAGCTGAACTAATCTTGGGGTTGGTACTTCCTCTTTATAAGCCTCAATATCGTCATCTATACAATGAGTGAAATAATCATAACCTATACCCCAGCCCTTGCTGTGCATAAGAAATGAAATCATACATGTAAAGGGCTTACATGCGACTACTAGATATTAAACACTCGAAAAAGAATAGCTATTATTACTAAACTGTACTTTCTATAAATGAATTAATGATAATACTTCTATTTTAATATGCCAATGTATAAATTAAATGGTGGGATTTAAGGTACAAAATTTTCTAATTTTTCCTTCCCTGATGAGAATATGAAATATATCATCATAGGTATTTACTTAAATGTTTTTTGTTCATACCTAATTCATAGAGAGAATAATGGATTTTAAGGTGTGAGTGAATCTGTCTACCTACCTATTTAATCATTCAGCATCTGGCACTATGATTTTCCTTCTCATATTATAAGAGCATTGGATATTTGTTGGATGAATACATTTTAAAATATATAGACTTATTGCCCAAATTATCCTTCAATCTCAAATAATTAAAAGAAAGATTTTCTTAAATATGTTGTGAGCTAAAGGAGCTGCTGCATATTTACTCTTCATCAGAAGGCAGTAAGGAAGGAAAGAAGGAAGAAAGGAAGGAAGGAAGGAAGGAAGGAAGGAAGGAAGGAAGGAAGGAAGGAAGGAAAGGAGGGAGAGAGGCTAGAGAGCCAAATATAACCAATAATAATTTTTTAATGTCCAAAATAAAAATAGTCAAAATCTCTAGGCATGTCTTACCTGTCAATTCCACATGCCAGTTCTAAAGGCATGTTAACTAACTTATTAACTAAAAATAGTTTGCTCAATAAGTAAACTATCATGTTTGACTCTTGCAAAGAATCAGAATTATTTTCCAGTCCTCTTGGCATCCCAGCCTGATTTGGAAGAGTGGAAGTGTATTTACTTGACAAGTCCAAAACTTTTCTGGAAAATAAATTCACTTTTGAATAGTCTTTTTTCACTTCAGCATTGCATAAATCCCAACCTGGCAGCATCAATGAGAAGTGATCTTCATTTGAAGCAAGTCCTAAAGAAACAGGACCCTGAAGCTTTAAAATATTGAGATGCTTAATACAGAGATTATCTAATTCTTTATCCACTCCCCATGGTAAAAGGCAAGATAGGAGCAATTTAGCTGTGTCTATTGTGAGGTTGGCATCGACTTTTCTTGATTGCTTAGGGTGCATCTTTTTGGAGCTCTTTATTTTCTTCTGCCTTTTAATGCCATCATTTTCTTCTGATAATTTGATGGTATTGTCTCCTTGGGCTGGGCTTTCACTGACAGGCTGGGCTTGTGCCTCCGCTGAGAGAGGACCGCAGGCGGTTTTATTTCTTTTCAGTGTCAGTGTTTTCTTCTCTACTGTGCTTTTGGCTCTTCTCAGGATCTCGCTGCCATAGAATGAATTGGAAGGGTCCACGTCACAGATTGGAGTTGGCAGCAAAAGTTCAACAAGGTTTTCCAGATCAAATAGAAGGATATGAAATCCAATGTTACTCCATTTTGTCCTCACAGGCAAGACATTAAAAGGTCCTGAGAAGGACTTGGTATCAGCAACCTAAGGGAAATAAAAAAAAATTATGTGTCAAAGTTCTTATTTTAAGTGACTTTATTAAAGGTTCCATGATATTAAAATGGCATAAAAAGAAATTATCAAGTAGCAGTACAAATAAGCAAATCATTTCAATTTTTTGCCTTAGCTAAAAATTCCACTCTAAATTAAACATTCTATATTCTAATATTTTTGAAAACTTTTTTCCTTTCATATTTCCTCTAAAATAAGATGAATCAGGCTATGGAGTAACATAGCATCAGATTAATGTCCTTTCAGATACACTTTCATATCTTCCTATCAATATAGCCATGAAAATACACAACAGGGAAAAAGTGGGTATGAAAACTAAGGACAAGAGTTAGAACACCTGCAAGAATTTAGGAAGTCTTTTAACAAAAAGGGTCTGTCCAAATTTGTTTAAAATGTTAAATAATTGGAAGTAACCTAAATGTTAACCAGTATCAAATTGCTTTTGCTTTTTTTTTTTTAAAGGCTTATCTTGTGGACTTGCATTTGTTCTTTCTCTAAGAAGCTTTTGCCCTAAATACTGGCCCAGTGGGCTTCCATACTGCAGTTATGTTCCTGCTCATTTAGGAGGCCTTCCTTTAGTACCCTGTGCCCTCATGCCAACCCATTACTCTCTAGCCTCTTCCTTGCTTTTTTTTTCTTCATAGTACTAATTATTACCTTATACTATATGAAATGTTTATTTGTTTACTGTATATTTTCCCCAATATCATTCAGACTCCACCTTTGCGGGAGTGTTGTGTATCACGTTGTTCCCAATGCCTATAAAATAACGCTACTATGCAGCATTATTAAGTGGCTCAATAAATATTTGTTGAATGAACAATTAGTGTATATATACACACACATATATATATGTATATATATATACACACAATGAAATATCATTCAAATATTCTAAATGGTGGTATACAATGACATTTATTGGGAAAAATGTGTTCTATTAAGCAGAAAAAAAATCCTTTTGTAAAACTATGTATGTGCTAATATACAGATTTTAAAGATTGATATATACATATATGTACACATATAAATATATATTAATATAGAATATGTTTATAACATGTGTTACATGTATTCACTATACATAGTAATATAAATATTTATGTGTATATAGTCACAAGACATTTATCAAAATGTTGACAACAGTTAATTGGAAAGAGGGTATTAAAATCATGTTTATTTATATCTTATAGGTTTTTTAAATCTAATTTTTTGGAACTTTTTCCCGTAATGATATCTTTAATTTGCAATTATAAAAAAGAAAATTAAAAAATAAACAGTTTAAAAATTAAAAAAACAAAATAGGGACAAGCTTAAAAAGTACTTTTTTAACCAATAAGATAAGGGTTAGTATAACTATTAATAAATAATTTTTGCAAATCAAAAATAAAAAGTACTATACACATTGAAAAATGGGCAAATAGCATCAATAGCAATTCACAAATAAAAACATTCAAATTAAAATATATAAAAAAGTGTTTACTACCAGTGATAATCAAAAAGTAAAATTAAGATAAAAATACCATTCACTACCTATTAATTTAGCAAAGAGGGTTTCTTACATTATTTTATTATGTAATGTTTAGTACATACAAAATAATACATACACTATACATTTAGTCCTAGGATTATCAATGTTGTATACCAAGAAACATGGACAAAATTATATAGCATCTTTATCCATAACTGCCCCAAGCTAGAAACAACCTACATGCCCATCAACAGTTGAAAGCATAGAGACATTATGATGTATTCAGGCAAAAGAAAAATATACATTGAAGATGAAAGAACTATAGACATTCAACAACCACATAGCTTGGATGAGGACAGTATAAGGACAAGTACAGGAAACTATGAAGGTCTGAAGTCCTGACTCAGGCTGGGGGATTCACTAAGCAGGAGTGACACCCAACTGAGATCTGAAAAGTTAAGGAGAGATGAACTAAAGAAAAGTGGGAGGCCAAGTATTCCAGGCAAAAGGAAGAACATGTGAAGACTCCTGGGGTGATGACTGGACAAGGAATGAGAAGGTATACAGGGACCATGTGCTGTAAAGATGGCTACAGAGTAGAATATGGGAGTGTAGAATGAGCCACACAGGGCAGGAGCTAGATTACACTGAAGCCTTGCAAACTATGTGGAGTTTCAAATGTATTTGAAGAGCAGTTATGACCCTTGAAGGGGTACTTAAGCAAGGAAGTCCCCTATACACAAACTAAAGCCATGATTTCTTTCAAATTAGGGGTTTATGAAGCAGGCTGAAGACAGGATTCTACCCTCCAGTGCCCTTCCACTTCAAAGCTCTAATTAATCTTCCTTGGCCACAACATCTAGACCTCCTCAAATACTGGGCCAGTCAAAATCATAGCAATGGTTCTAGCAATATACATATTCCCTGATCTGGTCTCATCTTCTTATTTTGCGACCCACACCAGCCCAATAGGCCCATTGTACTGCCATAAACAAAAATCCTAAATTTCTGCTCCTAAATATGGCCACCTTAAGCCTCAGGAGCAACTGGATGCTTTATAATATTTTTAAATCATAAGTGTTATCCCACATTTACTTACCATACAACAAAGTTGGTTTCCATTTGGACACAAGTTCATTAGATGATAAGTATAAACCATTGTTATATTTTAATGTACTATAGTGATTAAATATTATAATTCTAGCTTGTCATCATTGTTTGAACACTTAAAAATCTTTCAAGAAATAGTGAGTACATTTTTAAAGTCATGTCACTAAAGGATTTTAAAAATAACATTTACCATTACTTTGTACACAAGTAATACAAAATGACAATATCTATAACAGTAATTCCTGAATTTTAACATATCATAAGCTGTGCATACACAAAATTTAGTGATGTGTAGCAAAGGCTATAGTAAGTTTTAACCTTATTTGTATTTGCATGTTACCTACATGCAATATATTCCTTAGAAAAGAATTCTATTAAAAGTAACCTGCTAAATCATGACTGAATGACGTTGTGCAAAAATGTAAATATAATTATATTACTTTTAGAATGATAAGGTATATGTAAACCATCATTATATTAGAAGCATTTTAGAAACATTTACCAATCTGGTTGCAATAAAAAAAAGTCTAGAACAAGTAATGAAATACAAAAGTATTTCATCCAATCTATAGAACTGCAAAAATGTGAGGGCTAAACATAAAGTTTAAGTTATTAGTTCACATGTTGTTTATAGAATGCTCTCTGATTGCCTGGCAGATAATTCCCAAAATGTGCTGTGCAGGCTTTGCATACATAGGGAAGGTGCCGGTATTTTCCCTAACATCACTTCACATTTAGTCCTACTCTCTGAAGTTCCAGCTTGAGGCAAGAGAGGAGGTGTGGTTTACAATCAGAGCAGCAAGATGGTAATACTAAAGGACAATGGTCCATTCCAACCTCTGAACTTTGTGAGGCTGAGGAGTAAAATGGTACTGATATATCTACATGTGAATGCTCTAAACAGCAGGTGGGGAGTAGAAAGACGCACACAGAGCTGAGCTCTTTGTCTGAAGTACACAGATTGAGGGAAAAGCTACTGAGTTAGAAAGTCTGCAAGTAGAATTCCAGATGGCCAGCGGGCAGAAATTATTCTTCTACTGCAGAATAAATGACAAGTAAAACTAAAGTCAACAACACAAAATTCAAACTCTCAACAACCCGGTATACATATAAAAAAGAAAACCGAAAAGGCCCAAAACTTTGGAGGAAAAGAGTGTAATATGTGTGAAGGTATAAATTTAACAGCTTTATTTTTTTAAGAAATCTGTTCATGTATTTATCTTTTTATTTACTGTGCTGTGTTCAGTTTGTGCTTCTTCCTTTTCAATTTGATTCGGAAACACAAAATGGTTAAACAAGACTTTTTTTACCCCCTGCCTTTGAAAGTGGAAATACACGGTCTAACAACATGTTCTGATAAAACTTCTCCCTGAAAACATCCTGGATCCCCTGCTGAGTTTGTTATAAAAGAATTTGACCTGCTCAACCTACCACAACTACAAAATACATTTGGTAAAACTGACTTTTAAAACTACTCTCATCTTCTCACTCTTGTGATTCTGCACAACAAGACCTAATACAAATATTCAAACACAAAGTAAGAAAACATATAGGTAATAGCTGCCAAATATTTTAAATATTTAGTTATGTTAGAGCAACAAGAATTTAGAAATGGTCTAATCTGACCCCTTCCCATTAAACAAGGGAGAATAAAGGGCAGAGAAGTTATGTGACTTTTCAAAATTACCCATTTGGTAAACAGCCAAGTCAGGACTCTTAAGTCTATTTTTTCTGTCTGTTCTTCAGATGATATTATCAACTTAAATTTTTCAAAGAATGGAATAATGTTTCTTACTTATTATTTCTAAGATATATAAAGGGTCCTCATTAGCTAAGCATTCATTTTATGAAACACCATATTCACTGAGATGCATAAGGAAGAAAAAAATCATCCTTATGTAAAAATATTTACTTACAAGCCATTCATTTAAAAAATTAGCACCCTTTCTAACGTAAAGGCTCATCTCTATTCATTAGTCAGGCGCTGACTGATTATCAAATAATGCAATCGAATTGCCAAATAGATAGCAAGTACTATTAAAAATGAAGGATTACACTAAATCCAGAGATGTCAGAGCTATCTGAGTCACACCCAATGCCACTGATAAATAAGGATCCAGCAGGGGAGAGCAGTTAGTAACTGAAGAACAGAAAATTAATTCAGATACTTCAAATGACAAATCTTGCAATATAAAGTGTATAAGAGACCTGTGAAATACTTGATTATCCTTTAGATACTTTTCTAAAATAACTCTTCATTAGTCAATGTGAAATTCAGACATAAAGTAAAAGGTAACATACTGTGTACCATACAATTTAATGGAAAATATACAAAACATATAATTGTTCTAAAGTCATTTAAAGAATTGGTGTATAATTGCAATCATAATCT